TGACATTTGCCATCTCCACATCATTGCATTCAGTTTTTATTCACAATTTGTTTGGTGTGCCAACTGTTTTGGAATCCGGTTTGTTTAACTGGCCGACCCCCTGCTGTAGGAATGACTGGAGGAAACATCCAGAGAATCCTCCGTTTTTGAGGATTTTCTTCGTCGTTTCATCTGGAAACGTCGTTTAGTTTTCAGTCTGTATAGAAATCCGCGATCAGAACCAGAGACGGTGTCCTGGGACATAATGCGGTTTCACTCCGCTTGCAAGCAGACCAAAGTTTGAGAAAAAACCTTCATGTATTTAAGAGGCTATTTGATTTCAAATTGCTTGATTTTGCCACCAGGGGGCGCTGTCACACCACATTGATGTAGTTGCTGCCTTCACAGCTGGCTGGAACTGCAGCAGTTCATGTTTGACCTGGATTTATTTTAAAGTATCTTCTTGACAAGCAGAACAAAGATGGTTTGTTGGTTTAAACTGAGAAGCTGCTCAGATTTCCTGTTTTTATCGATGAATAGAGCTAAAACTCCCTCTAGAGGAAATCTGGGTGGGATATATTTGTTGAATGCAAAATGTATTTATATATTTATCGCACGATTTTGGTCTAATTACTGCTTTAAATATGTTGTTCCTTCAAAAATGTGGTCTTTTTTAGAGTCTCTATTCTCCAGGTAATGATTAATCGATTACTAAAGTAGTTGACATTTGTTCAATGTCGTTATAATAATGGTTATTTAAATTGAGTGTAAAACCTGCGTTTGAGTGGATGATGGTTTGTTTGCAGGCGTCCTCCTCCACATCATCGCCGACACTCTGGGCAGCATCGGCGTCATCATCTCCGCCCTCCTGATGCAGAAGTACGACCTGATGATCGCCGACCCCATCTGCTCCATGCTGATCGCCCTCCTCATCGGCGTCAGGTGAGCTTCCCGGAAGCCCCTCCTCTTCCTGCAGCTGAGCTGACAGGTGGGCGGAGCCTCAGCAGGGAACCAGTCAGCTCTCTGAGCTGCCAGAGTCTGGTTGTGATCAGGTGAAGGGGAACAATGGAGCGAGGTCACTTCCTGTTCAGAGGGGAAGCTGCTGCTTTGGTTTGTTTTAAATGTTGAGCTGAAATTCCTGGAGCCTCAGAGGGAACCTGAGGAACCGCAGGCCGGCCCTCGGGGCTCCTTCACTCTGGACTGTGGACTTCCAGATGTTGATCATCTGAAAGCTGGAGAATGAAAACATGATTTCTGAAGCTCCAGTTTCTACAGCAGAGTTTCCCAACCCTGGTCCTCAAGGCTCACTGCATGTTTTAGGTATTTCCTTCCTTCAGCCCAGCTGATTTCAATCGATGACTGATTGTTGAAATGCAATCAGTCGAATCAGGCACATTAAATCAGGGAAACCTAAAACATGTAGGACAGTGAGCCTGGAGGACCAGGGTTGGGAAACGGGTTAAACATCCACATTTATAAAGTTTCACTCACTGAAGAAAAGATTCACAAAACAGTGTTTCTGTCCATCCATCATTAGTCCGGCTCGCTGATCCGTCCCCCGATTATTCTGTCCAGTTGTTCTTCCTTCTGTTCAGTTTTTCCATATTTTCACCTGATCTCTCTGAGTAAATCTAAAATTTATTGTAAAATTTTGCATTTATCCATGAACAATGACTCAAAAATGAATGGAATCATTTTTCTATCTCATATAAACGCTGATTTTTGTGGTCAGTTAAATAATCTGTGGATCTTCTAGTTTTAACCTCTAATGACTCCAATGATCAATAAACAACCTGAAACTTCTGCCTGTTAAAACCAAATGTTAAAAACTGTTGACCTTAAACTCCCCAAAGATCCAGTTTATTGATCACCTGCTGGTGTAAAATGATCGATAGATTCTCTTTATTGGCCACCAGAGCTTCGCAAACCAAGACAAGATATTGATCAAATTAATCTCTGAAGACAGATAATTAATAAATCTATAAAATACCTGAGCAGCACAAACATCAAAACAACTCAGGTTTCCTCCTCAGTTTGAATTTTAACTCCATCCAAACTTTATATGCGTTTTAACCGAAAGGTTCCCAAACGTTTCCCTGCAGCCTTACTTCTGATAAAACCCAGACATGACACTAACAATATGTAAACATTAACTTTTTCCTCAGTTTTATTCAGTAATTATTTCATTCATTTAGCATAAATGCTGCCTTACCGTCTGATTTTAACCACGAGTTCTTAAGGGTTTTTGCATTTTTATTTTTTTGACAGAAATGTTTCATGCTAGTTTGATGAGCCAGTCAGAAAGAACAACATGTCCAATAAGTTATTGTTGCTTTTATTTTATAATACTGATTGAAAAACAGAGTTGACTTCATAATAAAAAATTATAATTTAAACATTTATTAAAACTTTTATTAATTTTAGCGCCATCTGGTGGCTCCCTTCTTAAAAGTACTGCTATAAGCAAATCATCCATCCCATAAACTCAACAGCTGACTGATTTCAAACATAACTGGATCTATTACAGAGGACCTGTTATGCGAATAGGTACAAACACAGGTGTGTGTTTGTATGTCAGTTTGGGATTTTACTGCTTCTAAAAACAAAGTGATTAAAAAAATACATTTTTTGGCAATAAGTTAAAGTTTTTTTTTGTATCTGGAAAATGAGCCGTTTTTAAAACCTCCCGATTGAGTCACATTCATACAGTACTACAGCATCTGCTGTATGCACTGTACAATGGCTGCTGGAAAACACGTTTTATTGTTGACCATCCAGAAACCACTTGCTGCATTCGTCCTGGTTGTGCAGGAGGCTCCACTTCTGCTTTTCACCAATGTACAGTTGAATAATTGCACAACTATTTTCATGTGCAAGTGTAAACGTTGAGTTGGGGGGGCGTGGCCAGCAGCTCGTTTAGACTTAAGAGACAAGACGCCTTAAACGGCTCATCCTCAAAGCAGAACTGGGTAGACGTGTTTTGTGTAGGCCACAGATTTACAGAATAGAATAGAATTTATGGCTCCATAATATCATAATGTGTCACTTTTAAAGCAAAGGCGGCTCAGAAAGCCAGGATTTTGAAGCTCTGCCTCCAGTTGATCTCAGACTAAGATGATGTGAGCAGGACTTAAACCACATAAAGGGTTTCACTTTAAAAAACGTTCTGGAGGATCCCTAAAAACAACCAAAGCTCTACCTCTGAAGGCGACGAAAAGAAGAAGCCCAAACGGGTTTGCAGGAAACATTGAACCGCCTCAACATTGTAGCTTCTACAGAACTTCAGCAAAGATGGAGGAGCAAACTTTGTTTGTTCTGCTGCAGGTTGGATGTGTTTTAAAACAGCAGCAGAAGAGTTTACAGCCTGTATCTTCAGTCTAATCTCTGCAGATGAAAACACATGCTGATGGGTTTCCTCTCAAGTTTCAGCTCTGTAGACTCATTCCTCAGACCTGAAAGCATGAAAATCAATCCAAGCCCTGATGGCGGCTATGGAGGCTGGTTTCCACTAATGTAAAGAACGCTCAGCCCGCGGTTAATGGCCGTCCTGGAGCCATGCTCCATCTCCTGACCAGCGGTTGGGTTTCTCCGAAGCTTCGGCGATAAATCGAGCCGCCGTGATGCAGTCTGACGGCTGGAAGCGAGCGGAGCCGAATATTTCAGGACTCGGCACAGCGGAGCTGTGGTCAGCCCAGAGGCCTTCACCCGACCGCAGAGATCAGGTTTCCGCAGCTGGAAAGTCAGAGTCACCGCGGTGCTAAACGCCTGCAGATGTGGAGAAAGTTGGACCGAACTCCAGCTGAAAGTCTGGAGGTTCTGTTTCGATCCTTTTTGTGATGTGATCTGACCTCTGACCTCTGACTAGTCAGAACGGGAATCATCAATTCTTCAAATCGTTGATCCTAACGATTCTGTTTATCGGTTCCAATAACGTGAAACCATATTTGCGTGATGACGTATTTTATAAGCTCCGCATTTTGATTTAGAAAATATCCACGATGGCGTCGCAGAAGCAGCGTCTTCTGCCAAGACCGCTGCCGCACATTTCGCTCTTTTAGCATCGCTTTCATGGCGGGAAATGACCGGAGAGGATGTTTCAAACATGGTGCCATTTTTTAATTTGAGTTTATTTCCTAACTCAGAGAATTGATAAGTGATATTGACAATGGAATTGGTAAATCCTTATCGATTCCCATCCTGACCTCTGACCCTCAGTGTTGTGCCGCTGCTGAAGGAGTCCATCGGTATCCTGATGCAGAGAACGCCGCCGTCGCTCGACAACGCCCTGCCAGAATGCTACCAGAGGGTTCGTACCTGGCGATAAGCCCCGCCCACTCAAACCCACCTGTTCAGTTCTTATTCCAGCTATAGATCCGGATTACGGACGTGTCTAATTCCTGGTTTTACGCGTTCAGGTGCAGCAGCTGCAGGGAGTCTACAACCTACAGGAGCCTCACTTCTGGACGCTGTGCACCGACGTTTACATCGGGACGTTAAAGCTGCTGGTGGCGCCGGACGCAGACACCCGCTGGATCCTCAGCCAGACGCACAACATCTTCACTCAGGTATCTGAACACGAGTCCAGCACCTGGAGAGGCTGGAGTTCAGCCCGGAGGAACCAGGAGAAACCGGTTCAGTTCACTCGGATCCGTTTAATCTGAACAAGTTCACTTAAATTTACACATTTTAACAGACATTAATAAAGTAACCTCTGCATGTAGTTTATTAAGCCCTTCATGCTAAACTCTAAGTACGCTGCATTATGTGCGTCCTCTCTGTTAGCTCGGTTAGCTAGCTGCCTCCTCTGCAGCTCAAACTGAAAGTTCTGGACGAGGGAAGCTAATTAGCTGCACACCTGTTTAATTGAAGATGCAGCTAAGGGGTGTATGAATGCTCCAAATGTTGGTTTTCACATCTGCCTCTAAAGATATTAGAAGTAGTTTGATACCATCTAGTGGTTGGAGTGTGAACTACATGTGAATCATAGAAGCAGAAGTTTGTGAATTTAGCAAATAAACTCTGTAAATAATCTCAACCCTGAGCTAGATTATGTAATAAAACATATTTAAGTTCACTAATATCTTCTACATATAATATATTAAAATAGGCATGTGACCAACATTTCTAAAGTTGTTTCTAGTTTTGGGTTTGAAGCTTTTTAGCGACACTCAGCATCTAAGGAACGTAAATGAGTAATTATTAGTGTCAAGAATTAATATATAAAAATTTAAAACTGGTAAATTTTGTGGATGTATTTTGATAGTTACTTCAGATTACAGCATATTTAATGATTGAATTAATCTCACAAGTGCATACCATACTAGAATATTATTTTACTGTGATCAGGTGATAAAAACTACAGTAAGGAGAACTTTGAAACACAGCAGGATGAAAACCAGTGGTTGTTAAAAAATACACGTTGAAATTAAATTTGTAACTGAAAAACTGAGCTTTGAGCTCATTGGACTCTGAGCAAAGGACTTCAGCATTTTTCTGTAGCTGAAACACAATGATAAAAAAAGCAATGGTTGCTCAAAAACAAATTTTGACAGTTTTGTTTTTACATTGGCTTGAATAATAATCAACCTGCTGGGATTGAAAAGTCTTTCATTCATAAAACGGTTCAAACCTCCATTTGTTATAATTTCTGTATTTTAAAATATTAGCTGGTTCTTTGTTATTTGTACCCATGTTCAGAGCCATTGTGACCAGATCTCTGGTTTACTCTTAAGCTAATCTCTGTGGCAAAGTGAGGTTTCATCTGTTGCAGGTAGGGTATTTGCTACTTTTAGCCTCTCGGCAGAACCCCGCTCGCCGTCTGTAAGCCAGCTGCTTTACTTTTCAAAATATAACCTTCAAGATTTGATTTCTAAAATGAGCAAGTAGCCTGTATTAAGCTGGCATTAAAAGAACGTTGAACATGAACGATTCCGTTCAGACTGAACGTGGAACCAGTTCCTAACGTTGGTTTCCTCTGCAGGTCGGCGTCAGACAGCTGTACGTTCAGATCGACACGGCCGCCATGTAGAAGCTCCGCCTCCTCCCATCCTGGGACCAATCAGTCATCTGCTGCAGGGTGACCTTTGACCCCTCTGCAGAAGGGAGGGGCGGGGGGACACAAAGAACTGATGAACTCAAACGCCCCACCCACGTTGCTGGTTTTATAAATAATTAACTGGGTTTGGTGGGCGACTTGTCCGCCTTGCTCCTCCTGCCCTTCTCTTTGTTTGTAGCAAAGGATTCTGGGTAAGTGCCTTCATCAGAGACAATCTGAGCCCCTCCCACTTATTGGTGGCATCACAGCTGGTGTCTGCTGATTGGCTCCGTGTCGTGTCACCGGGTTTTTTCCGTTTTTTTTACTGTGCCAAACCATGTGACCAAATCATGTGACCTGTTAGTGGGATTTTTTTAAACTGTAATAAATCAATTTCTCTGCTCAGTTATTGATTTTAATCTTTATTGACGTTTACAAAACGACTACAGGTGCATCAAAGTTTGTTTACCAACATTGCAAAAACTAAATCTTACCAAGTACTTTTGTCCAGGTTCTAGTGCAACCTGGGGCTGAAACGATTAATCGCGATTAATCGTTTACTAAAATAAGTTGGTTGCAGCCCTAGTGCAAACATCTTAACTGAAAAAAGACAAAATTAACTTAAAATAAATGTAAGAAAAGTAAGTACTTCCTTAATATTGATGGAAAAAGTTTTACTGATTATTTAAATAATAGCAAAACATTTTACATGAGTAAAATCTGCCAGTGGAACTAGAACTTTTTATCAATATTTAGAAATTTAGTTGTTTTAAATTAGTTTGTAGTTTTGTCTTATTTCAAGTTTACTAAGATATTTATACAATAAACTAGACAAAAATAGTTGGTAAGATTTTGTTTTTGCAGTGAAGCTGTTTTGATTGAATGGATTTTCTTTCATTTCACTGATGATCGAGTTCGTTGCTCCTGTGAGGACGGATTCTGGTCCGACCTCATCCAGGTGAAAGTTCCCGGCCCAGCGGGTCGGCCGGCGTCAGGATGTGTAGGTGGAGCTGTCGATCATGCGCAGGTGCTGCAGCGCGTCTGGTGCTGCGTTCAGGCGCAGCATGTCCACCTCCAGCGGGTGGAGCCGGGCGGTGACCACCAGCGAATGGAGCGGCCCGCCCAGGTCGCATGACGCCAGCTGGCGGAGCGTCGCCGCCCGGACCGCCTGGTCGTCGGCGCCGAGCCGGGCCAGGCCGACGCACACCGTGTCCTCCGTCACTCCTGGACCGGGACGGGAAAGTAAGGAAAACATCAGAGTAGATCCGTCAGAAACAGGCATGTGACAGACGGTTTTTCTCAACATTTTGATTGAAAATGAAACTGTATTCATTGTTAAAATAAACCTCTAAATAAAACTGAGGTTCAGTTTTTCTTCAGGGCTGAAACGATTAATCGTGATTAATCAATTATTCAAATAAGTAACTTTTAGTAATCAATCATTAACCGAACTATACAGACTAAAAAAGACACATCTGTTAAAACAGCAACTTACTGAGAGCAGCAATCAGGCCAAAAATATAAACATTTTGCATGTAAATAAAAAAACTTTATAAACTTTATAAAATCTGCAGTTTTAGCTTCACTTGGTTCAAAATCTGGGGAAAAAATCTTTGCTACAAATTAAGCGTTCGCTGAAGACTTGCTGTTACTACATTTTAGGCAATAACATGTTTTTCTTTTTATTTATTTGCATCTTTTATGTTTTTAATGTTGTTAAAAAAGGCTTAAGTGATAAATCTGTGCAATGCCAACTTTTATATCCGATTAATCGTCTGAACAGTCGATTAATCGATAATTAAAATAATTGTTAAACACAAAATGAGTACATTATGGCTGAATCATTGCTCTGGAGGATCAATCAATAGATGATTGATCGGTTTTTGATCAGATCATGTTGGACTCACCCAGCTCCTCCTCTTCCTCGCTCCTCCTCCTCTCGATGATCTGAATCAGCTGTTCTGCAGCCTGACTGACAGTCATGAAGCGCGGCGGCTCGTAGATCTTCTTGCCCCTGAAATCAATAATCAAAGTGTTGCTTTCAAACCAGAGAACAGGTCCAGTCCTGGTCCGGTCCGGTCCTGGTTCTGGTCCGGTCCTGGTTCTAGTCCGGTCCAGTCCTGGTTCGGTCCGGTCCAGTCCTGGTTCGGTCCGGTCCTGGTTCTGGTCCGGTCCTGGTTCGGTCCGGTCCAGTCTTGGTTTGGTCCGGTCCAGTCCTGGTTCGGTCCGGTCCAGTCCTGGTTCTGGTCCGGTCCAGTCCTGGTTCTGGTCCGGTCCAGTCCTTACCTCATCATGTTCTCGATGCTCTGCTCTTTCATTTTAATATCTGATAAACAGAACAAGAAACATTTAGATGAAACTTTAACTTCCATTGTGTTTTTACTGCTGGAGTCAAAACAACTGAAAACATCTGTTGTTACGTTGGTATTTAATAAATTATCTAATTGCTTGCAGATTAATTTTTAAACATTTTTCTCAAAACTTTTTTGCAGTCAGATCATCGTCAGTCATAAAATGTTTGGTAAATAATGCGAAGAACTTGGAAAACAATGTCTAAAATAATGATTAATCATCCATAATTACAGTTTTATTTTTAGAACAAATTCATGTTGAAGAAAATATAGAAATTATGTTTACTAAACAGTAAATTGTTTCTGAAAATCGGTGTGGATAATGCCAGACTTTAGCCTTTAGCTAACCTCATCTTAAGCTAGCTTATCTAACCCAACTTTAGCTTAGCATATATTCAATTAGCTTACCTACTCTTACCTTAGCTAACGTTATACAAACTGGTAGCTTATTACACTAAAACAGGTTAGTCAAATTAGAGGTTATGTTAATTTAACTTACCTAAACATTGATAACATTAGCTTAGTTAGCTTATTAGCATCATTCAATTTCAATACAAAAATGCTTTCTTGATCCAGAGATGTTGTTGTAGCTCCTTTAATTAAAGAGTCATTGTAGACAGTGATCACAGTGGACTGGAAAAATGTCCTGCAGCTGTTTGTATTACAGCAAGCCTCTGACTGAAGACACTCTGTTTTTCTATGACAGTCTCATGAATAAATAAACTTGTTTTGGCTAACTTTAGCTTAGCATAAAACCAGGTTAGCTTAGTTTATCCATTTACCTGCATTTAGCATGCACAAACTGACCGTAGCAAACCTTATCTTAGGTTAGCTAACTTAATCATATTGCATACAAGCTAGGCTAATGTGAGCTAAGTTAGCTAAAGTAACTTTATTTTATGTTAATCCAGAGGTGGGTAGAGCAGCCAAAGATTGTACTAAACTAACAGTGACACTACTTTAACATATTTCAGTTGCTCAAGTTCTGAGTAACTGATCAAAGTATCAATCGTTTAATATTTAAAAATTACATCATCAGACTGATCAAAATATAAAAGTATAAAATGGGAATTTTAGTGTTTTTGATTCATATGAATAACGTAACGACAAAGTAGCAAAATCAGGCAAAAGAAAAGTTTATCCAAATAAATGTTCAAATTTATGAAACTTTAACAAAAACTGCAGGTGTGTGTCTGGTGAATTTCTGCGTAAAACATGTTTGTTCTTAATTCAGTGAAGTTGCTCACATGGGTAGAGAGTCCAGAAATGTTCCTCAATAGTACAACATAGTAGAAATACCCTAAAAGTACATTTTTCCAAAAAGTTACTTCAGTAACTATTTTCTACCAGGTCTGCTCTATTTTAGTTATTTAAATCACCTTAAATTAGCTAAATTTGGAGAACTCTCAAATCTCTTTATTAGAAGCAACTCTCCCTGCCAGGAAGGAAAATGCACAGAAATAAAAATTGGTTGAAGACTTTTGCACAGTATGTATCTCCTGATGTAACCATATAATGGATTAGACGTCCATTAACCCCCTGCAATAAAACAACCGGCTTTCTGTGGAGATGATGGATGAGCGTCTTCACTCTTTATTGGCTTATTCTTTTATTTCCTCTAATGAATATTAACAGCAGAGAGACACCAGCAGGCCCTTCACCTCCATGCAGACTGTTGGTTTAGGGGCCTCAGGGGCCCCAAGTGACGGATGGCGACACCTGGGGGGTTAGGAGTCGCTCTCCGCTCAAATAGGGGATTATTTTTGGTATGGTTCATTAACTTTTAGCTTTCTAATCTAATTTTGTTGTTATTTTTCTAATTTGTGTCTGCGTGTGTGTCTGTGTGCGCATGTGCGTGCGTGTGTGTGTGTGTCTCACCCAGCAGGCAGAGTGTGTGCAGTCCAGCTGCTCTGTTTTTACAGATTTTGTCGTAGAAACTTTCGGGTTTCCACGTTTCCGTCCAGAACACCACCGACACCGTCTCCCCGAAGTTATACAGCTGGAAAAACCCAGAAAGGTCAGAGGTCAGCTGCTATCGTTCTCTTACTACCTATCATTATAGCATAGTTTTATGTCATTTATTTTTATTTAATTTATTGTTTGTCTGGTTCATTTAGTTTTCATCGGTTTTTAGTGTTTGCTGGTTTTTATCAGTTAAGTAGCATTTAGTTTTTACTAGTTTTAATTTTTTCATACTTTGGTTCATTTTTAGATTCAGATTTCTAACTATTTGATTATGTGTACATCGATTGGGTAATGAATACTCAACAATTGTGTAAAAACAAACATTTCAATGATTGAAACTGAGTGTTGTGTTTTGGCTCCTGGAGCGGAGAGCCGTGGTTTGACTTAAACCGTGGAAGAAAAATCAATTTCACATCAGTTTGAAAGGCCAATAAATAGATTAATAAACACAAAAATGAAGGAGATTATATCCATCATTTAAATATGTTGTTAGTTTTATAATTGTCCAGAACCTGGAGGGGTTTCCCCCCTCCGACAACAGGGGCTGACTGAAGCGCCTCATTAGCATATCCTGTCCCTCATTAGCATATTAACTATCCCAGCGGAGACGCTGTGTCAGCGTTAAATCTGGGAGAGTGTGTGTTGGTGTGTGTGCTGTGACAGCTGGGTCCTGCTCTCTGATTGGTCGCCTTGACAGCTCAGTTATTGATGAGGTCACATTAATTTGATGCTTTCAGTGGCGAAACGCTAACACAGTTTAATGAGTTTCATCAGGAGCAGATGGGATGTTTTGGCCCCGGAGGAGGAAACGTCCAGCCAGCAGCTCCTGGTGCCAAACGCAAATGTTCCTGAAATCTGATTGTTTTCATGTTCTTGTTACTAATCAATGAGGCTTCTGTTAGAACGGCTTACGACCCCACAGCGACCCGAAGAACGATGATGTCACACAGCAGCTCTGTTTGAGGAAGTAACGATGGCCGCCGCCGTTTATGGATCAATTTAAAGTTTATTCAGCAACAGGAGCCGATGGCATCGCAACAAAATCCTAACGAGGAGAAGGAAGCCGATAAAAAGAAAAACCAGCCAACAGCAGCAACGCTGGTGATGCAAGTTATTGATTAGTGACTTAATCTGAAGTTGATTGGTCTCATCGATCGACTAATTATTAATTGATAAGCTGTGTTTTCTCCTGTTTTTGAAAGCTGACCATCTTTCCACATGCAGGCCTAAATCTTTCATAATATGCTGACTTAAAAAAAACATTAAGCTAGAAAAATTTAGCTGGAATAAAACTCATTTCTAGAAATTTCTGAAGTTCAAGTCAAAAATTTTGAACTTTTGAAACTTTTTTTCTAGAAAATGTCTGAAATTAAACCCAAATTAGTGTTTTTTTTTATAACAAATGTTTTTGTTTTTGTAGAAAATTTGAGATTATGCTCAAATGTTTAGTTTTTTTCAAGCTAATTTTTGACTTGGAAATTTCCATATTTTTTTTCTAACAAATGTTTGACTTTTTGTAGAAAATTCCTGAAATTAAGCCCAAAATTTGAGGGTTTTTTTTTTTTTAGCAAAAAAACCCTCTTTTTTAATTACACTATATGTAGATTAAAATTACAAAACATAAATTGTGTAATTTTAAGTAAAGCACCTTGAATCGCCTTGCTGCTGAAATGTGATGTATGAATAAACTTGATTGATTGATATAATGCCACCTGTTAAAGGATTGAAAAAGTCGTATTTGTTGGAACTTATCCTGAAACAAACCCTCATTTCTGTCTGATCGTGGGTTTTTTCCCAGAGTATTGACTTGCAGGCTGGTTGGTGGGAGGAGTAAAGTCACCTGCAGGCCGCAGCAGCCCACTGCGTTCATGATGGAGGCATTATGGATGACCCTGTACGGTATCCCAGCATTCACCGCTCTGAGGACGAGGTCGCTGTGAGTCGTGGCTCTGCAGGAGAAAACAAGATTTAGAAATTCAGCTCAGCTCACAAAAAGGGACAAGTTCTGAAAGGTCAGAAGCATAAAATGTTTAGTTTTTCTCCTGAAAAGCCCAGAGGAGCAGAATTACAGAGTGATGCTCAGATGCTGAGGTCACACACCGGAGGAATCCCTTCAAAAGAAACATCAGAAACTTTTCATGTAATTTCTCAAACCAAACGGGGTTTCTGAGCCAAACTGCTCTGCTCTGTTATTAACTCTGAGGAATCTGGTGGTTTTTGGGAGAAAAGCTCAGAAACAACGGGCTGGAGCAGCTGTGACATCAACCCTGCGGTTCTGCCGCGGCTCGGCGTGCTGACGCAGCGGACCTCGGGTCGGTGACGCCGCTCACCCGAACGGGTCGCCCACCACCAGGAAGGCCACGTCGGTCACATCTGCGTCCTTCAGGATCTCGTCGGCTCCCTGCTCGACCAGATCCCGGTCCGCCAGGATCAGCTGCTTCCCATAATACTCCTCCTGGGGGGAAACACACAGATGGGGCGTTTACTGGTGTCTGGTCATCTGATGCTCCTGAACTACACATGGAGAGTGTGTTTAAATAAAACAAATACTGATAAATTACTAAAACAAACTACAAAACGATAAAGACACAGCAAAAGCAATTAAATCAGCCACAAGTTGTAAAGAAGATATTGTTGTTAATGCTGCTGACAAAAAGCTGCTAAGGTATTCAGACCCAGCTAAAGCAGCAAAAATGTGGTAATGTGAGGCTAAACGTATTTGCATATAAAGCAGATCTTCTAGTCTTGCTACTAAGTTAATTAGTGGTACTAAAGTAACTGCTAATAATGCAATCTGCTAAAGCTACCATTGTGTTTAGAACCCAGCTAAAGCAGCAAAAACATTGGTAATACAAGGCTAAAACACAAAACAAATCTTCTGCTCTTACTGCCAATAATGCTAACTGTTAAAGAAACAATATTAAAGCCAAATGTTAGCTGCTAACATATCATAAAGAAGCTAAAACACTACAAACGCAATTCTGAAGCAGCTAAATGCTAAGACAAGTACTAACAAAGAAAGCAACCCAAACACAACTAGCATTTTACTGAAGTAACTGCTAACAATGCTAGCTGCCAAAGAAACTTCTAAAATAACTAATTGCTAAAGCTGTTGGCTGCTAATTTATTACCAAAACAATACTAACCTCAATTCTGAAGTAGCTAAATCCTAAAGTAAGTATCAACAAAACAAATTGCTAAATCTATTAGCTGCTAACCCATCACCTAGGAGGTAAAAAAATACTAAACTCAGTACTGATGTAGCTAAATGCTAAAGTAAGGACCAACAAAACAAGAAATGTGCTAAAATTATGAACACAGCTAGCTTTCTGCTGAAGTAACTCTAACAATGCTAGCTGCTAAAAAAACTACAAAACAATAAAACAGAAATAAAAAACACAAACAACTGAAACATAAATGAAAGGGTTTCTATAAACAAAAATCCCCTTAATAAATATTAATAATCAATGTGAAAGGCTTAGTCATATGTGTGTCATAACAAACTGCAAAGGACTCAGTAAAGGTTTACCTTCCAGCAGAAAACCTACCCAAAGCACACAGCCAGAGATATGTTGTTAGAACGGCTTAGTCAAAGTCAGGATCTAAATTCAATTGATCATTTGAGCCAGGATATCAACAGTTTTGTTCACCACAGACTCTCTCCCTCCAAGAGAAAGGAGCTAAAATCGCAGTTTAGCTAAAATTTGAAAGAGGAGACACTTGTAGCTGTAACTGTTAAATATAAATGTCCGCCACACTTTTAAGATATTTATATAAAACAAAAATATTAGAAAAGCATTCATCATTTACTATACATTTCACGACACGAAACCTACTCAAAAATCTTTCCCATCTTTCTGGTTGCAACATGAATAAGTTTGCACGGATCTGTATTATTTTCACTGCATTCCCGTCCTTCTGGGTTCTGGTCGGTTTCAGTCCGAACTCACCAGCGCCTCTTTCCCCACAGTCAGGATGGAGGTGTAGGCCTCCAGGTAGACCCGGGAGCAGCTCTTCACCGCCCGCAGACCCTTCACCGTGATGTCGGTGGCGTCTCCGAGTCCCAAGCCGATCAGGTACAGCATCCCGCCGGCCTCGATTCGGAAACTTTTCACCACACGAATCCACAATAGCTAGATATTCACGTCCTGACACATTCACGTGTAATCTCACCGAACTAGCCCTCAATACGGCATGCTGTTAAATGTTTACAGTCACGACAGCTACAGTCGCAATACGGCCTAACTGGCTCACACTGCGCCGAACTCCATTAGCAAAACCGAGTATTTAAAAATATTATTCCCTGACTGCTGAATTTAGAGCGAATAAAAATAGTTTTGACAAGTTTGTTAGAACTATATCTTATCTTTACATCGGCTGACAATAAATAGAGAAATTGTTTAGCATGTCATCTTTTTAAACATTGTTAGTGCTGTTTGTGTATTAAATCTGAATGGTTTTCAATAGAAAATCTGTCAGTCATGAATTTATAATAAAATGTATGAGAGCCGATCTAAAGACTTCATGGTGGAAGCTGCAATTGTAATATATTGTCCAATTAACATATTTTTTACTGTGGTTAACTATACTTTTAACTACAGTCAAGTTAAAATGTTGACATTTAATTATTATCCATCAATACACAAAAAATCTAAATGTAAGTCCAAAATATGATAAATCAGAAATATAAACTTAGATATTAAGAAATATACATTCCAGTGTATAAAATGGATTTTCAACTTATTCACTAATACTGTGATTATTTTAACAGGTATGTGGAGAAAGTTGTTGGTTTTTTGAAAGGGAACTTTTTCTTGAGAAAACTCACCTTACCTGAAGGGTGGCTAACGTGTGGCCCGGGGGCCTCCACAAGCTTTATGCTTTGGTCCATGTGATGGAGTAATTTTTAAATATTACATAATTTAAGTTTTTATAAGTTACTATACTTAGTAGAAATNTTACCAAATACTTTCTGACTCTTACTTGAGTGTTTCTTTGATGGCTACTTTTTATTTTTACTTGAGTAAAACTATGTTGAAGTAATGCTTCTCTTACAATTTTTGGGAACTCTACAATCACCTCTGATGGTTGTTTATTTATTTGCTTATTTATATTTTTACCAAAAACATGAAGATAAATGTAACAAAAACGAACAATTTTCTTTACTATTTTCAGTTTTAAGTCACTTAAACAAAAGAAATTGTTAAAAATAATTACATTAATTTGTTCTGCTGTATCTGCAATTGAAATGAATGTTTATTGAGTTTAAATGAATGATTTATGAACTTTTTTTTACTCATCCTCCTGTTTCAGGTCACATGGGTATAAATGTAATGAACTCTCTCTCCTGCTGCTCTTGGTCATCCCTTCGTCTCCATGGCGACGGTTGTCGGCAGCACGGCGTGTGAAAGTGGTTCTGAATGAGTCGGTGGGAAAAGCTGCCTCTCTCTCTCGGTCGCCCCTTGTTGCGGTAAACAAGCCTCCGGACCACGTGACTCCGCCCCCGTCCCGCCGCCCCGTCTAACTGGGAACCAGTGAATGACCGGGATGGTGGAGGAGGATTGCGGCCTTTTGTTGCAGACTTTCAGGGTTTGTTTGGCTCCAGTCATCCAGAGAATCGACGCTCCAGTTCTGTTAACTGTTTCTCTCTTCAGTTCTGGGTCCCGTTGTGGGATTGGATCCATTCTGGGTCTCAGATGAACCGGATCAGTTCAGAATCATTCAAAACCATCAATATCTGTGTTTAAAAAAAACAAAAAAAAAACATTTTCTAAATAACAATCATAAGAAATCCATGAAAGTCTGGATTTAAGAGGTCAAAAATGGAATCTTTTCCTGTCTGCTGAAACATTATAAAGATATGATGTGTAGGAAAACCCAAAAGAACAACAGCAACAAAAATCCATATATTTAACGGTGATAAACTGTAAAATTGTGACAGGACAAATCAGTAAACTATAAAACAATTCAAAAGTGTTCATTTACTGTGAAGTTGCAGTAATTTGTACATTTTACATTTGTACATTAATTTTATAGGTTGTTTTGTTTGTTTTGGGAAAAAGATTTTGAAGAAGTGAAAACATTTTCTTTTACAGTCACTTTTACATTGTAAAATATATAAAAACACATTTTTATTTTAGTTTGTGGATTTTAATCATAAAATCAAAATCATTTTCACTTATCGTTTTACGGTGGCATTCTGGAAAACAGCTACCAGTGCTTAGTTGTTTAGTTGGTTGTTGTTTTTTTACAGTGAATATTCTAAAATTTTCCCTGAATATTTCCATAACTAACTAAAACGTTTGCACATCAAGTTTAAGCCTCTTTTATAATCTTATTTCTGATAAATTAAGTAAATCCAAACTCTGTGATTTATTATTTAGCTCTTATTGGTTTAATTGATTATCTCCTCTCATTTGTTGGCCTTCCCCCGACCTCCTGGGGTCGCTTCGCTGCGGGAGCAGCTGAGGCCCTTTGGCCTCTTCAACCTTTTCTGGTCAAAAGAAGCTAAAGTTCATCTTTCACATGATGCTGTTCGATATTTGGGCTTCTTCCAGAAAGAATTGGACCAAACAAAGGGGCAGTTCTACAGCCTGGACCGAATGTCAGTAAATCTGGCCATCATTCCCGGTCCAGACTCCACATCCAAACAGACTTCTCTACAAAATGCTCCACAAAAAGCTCCTTGCTATTATTTTTGCTTCTTTTATTAGCTTCATTGTCCTGTTGTGATTTTCTGACAATACTGTCGGCTCCCATTGCTGAATAAACTTCAAAATTAATCTGTAAACAGCGGCGGCCATTATTACTTACGTAAACAGAGCGTGAAGGTGTGACGTCAGCGTCTTTCTTCTGCGCATGCGGGTTTCTTCGGGGACGTAAACAGAATGCTCGTAGCACGTACGGTCGCGTAAAACTAAAATAAAAATAATAAAAATCAGATTTTAGCAACAAAAAAAAAGTGCTTTAGCATCAATGCCTGAACGTGGCCTGGTAGAAACTGGTTGAGGAAAACTCTGCAAACAGCATTGAACTGATGGAGGTTCAAAGTTGAAACTCTGACACTCCTGCCTGGTGAGTGTCATAGAGGTGATGTGAGGTCTGGCCTCAGACAGAAACAGGATTAAAACTGATAACCAGGATTAAACCTGTTTACTGTTTGGGTTTAGATCTGACCTCAGATCAGCTGCAGCAGAGACCAAATGTCTGATGAACCTCAAGTTCAGCTTCTGTTGGTACAAACTGTCCTAAAGTTTTATGGGTTTCTGTTTGCAACCTGCGGCTCCTGGGACACAAGTGGATCCCTGGAGTTTCCACAATGGCCCAGCTAATACTTTAAATACAACTGTAATAATGCATGCAAGTTTTAATTGTTTTTTATTCGATTGGTAAAACATTGATACTAAAGGTTATTTACATCTAGTTTTTGTCCTAAATTTGAAAATTTGCTTTTTTAGCATAATTTTCCACAAATATAAACCATCCTACAGAACAAAATGTATGTATCCCCCTTTATTCAAAAGTTTAAAGTTTATTTTTATCTGAAAATGTAAAAAATAAAATAAAATGACATTTCTTTAATTATAGATATATTTTGGTAAATACAGTGAAAAAAGTAACATTTGCATCTTTTCTTGTAACATTTGCAGCTTCCAATGAAGCTTATTTAGCCAAAATGACTTTCTAAAGGTTGTAAACTTACAATTTAACTGTTAGTATGAAAACAAATAAAAGAAACAAAATCTCATATTTATATCAGATTTTTATTCCTTATCCGACTGTCTGAGCCTTAAATGTGTCATTGTTTCTGTTTCAGCTTAATTTAAGCTGTTATAAACCATTTGCTCCTGAATTTCAACACTCTACAAACAGATTGTTGAAGGGAAACATCCTGTTATTTTGAACAAACAGATGATTGTTGCTGGTCCAGTGGATCCCCAGTTTGGCTGCAGATCTATGAGAAAATCTTGAAAGTGATTAAAAACAAAAATCCTCAAAGAAACGTTGGAAGGGATTTGCATATTTCCACTTTAGAGAGCAGAATAAACTGTAATCTCTGATTTGAGATTATCAACAGCTCATAGAAACACGACAACACAGGACACAACTGAAGCCAAACAACATTTGGTTCATGGTTTCTGCAGGTTTCATACAATTATCTCAGCTTGGAGGAATCAGGGATGAAGCATCATGGATGGATGATATCTAAAGTAGCATAGTTATGGTAAATAGAGTAATTATGACAAACAAATCCAGTTTAAATCAAACTGAAATCTGTCTAAACACATGAAGCCAATTAGACGTAATAATTGGACTCTGAACTTCCCGGCTTCGTCGGGGTTTTTCGGCAGACCTGTGACGCGCCTCTCTGAGGTCACTGTGGAGGTTGAGCCTTCTGCAACCCCCTGGGTTTAATGAGACAGGATGTGGACGCTTGTTTTATCTCCCAGGGCGTTCCTGCAGCTTTAATTACGACCCTGAGGCCGACGGCTCGCTCCGCGACACGTTTGGTGCTCAACGGCGTCGCTCGCCATCAGAGGGGATTTCACACAGAGGCTGTTCACGGATCAGCTGTTCCTACTGACAGAAATAGAAGCGCAGCTACGTGGACAGAACCACGTCAGAGGAGCAAAGCCAAAGATGATGACAGGACTCTGCTTTTTTAGTGGAGGACACCTAAAGCCACAGAAACTTTCACAGAATAAAAAACTACATTTATCTTTGAAATTACACGTAATCTTCAGTTGGACTGAGGGTCTTGCAGTAAAACTTTCTCTGAAGATTTTGGAAATGTATATAATCAAAAGGTGTTTTACAGCAGGTTAGCAGATCTTTAACCAGGGTAAAATAAAACCTTACATCAAAAATGGAAATTCCTTAGTTTTTTTTTCTACTAAATTTCTTAGTTAATTTCTAAGTTTTTTAGCAAATTTTTGAAATTGGTCTCAAAGTTTCAGAATTTTTCTACAGAAATGTGCTCCTCCTTGTTTTTCTTCCTACTATGGCCGTAATGCTCAGTCGCAGCGTCAAGACCTTCTAGCAGTCCTGAAGCAAAAAGACTGAAGTGGAAACGAAGTGATGCGGTAAAGTGAGACTAAGACTACATGTGGCTCCACAAGTTGGTTAGTTTAGTGTTTCTGAAATGAAGTTCATTTTACAACCTAACGAAGGTTTGTTCACTTTGAAATGATTGAATTTAGTTTGAATCTTCTAGGAAAATGTGTTGTTTTTGCTTTCGTGGGGTGATTTCATGTTGTTGAATGGTAAAAAATGATAAAGCCACTCCAGGTAACTGGATTAGATCCTCTTTTTTTTTAGCTTTGCTGTTTCTCAAGCTGGAAATTTTAACTGGATCACTTCCTGGAAGCTGAATCTTTATGCAACAAGTTACCAAACTGTGTGAGGAGGAAGGACGGGATGAATCAGAGAGGAGTGGAGAGGATGAGGAGGCCCAGCGCTCTTTGTAGCTCCCACAGAACCATCTCCAATTACAGGACAAAGGCAACTCTTTCAGCCCCGCAGCTCAAACCCTGCAGCTTTGCATGTCTAATGAGCGCTGGGCTGAATGCTAAAAGGACCCCGGGGTGCTGCAGAGGCCTCGCCCCCCCACAGCCTACACACCACCCGGTAACCCTCTGGACCGGGACGACCAGATTGGGCGTCTTGTTTCAGAACGCAGCGGTCCTGATCTGTCCCACAGCCGTGTCGAAGCACAAATGAAGCCAGGACAGGAACTAACAGTGCTGCTGATAGAAAGCCTGAAAGTTAAAAACAGATTTAACTCAGTGGAAAGAATCAATGAGCTTTGGTGCTTCTTCTATTTAAGTAGGGCTGCACCGATTGCAGGTTTCTGGACGATAGCAGATTACACTTTAAAAATCCTGACCGTCTGATTCCAGCATTTCTTTGTCTGAAATGTTGCTAAATATCGCAAGAAAGTTGCTGAGTTGGCAACAGTAAGACGTGAAGACATGACTAGGCCTGTCGCAATAAGCAATAAACCAATTAATGGCATGATAAATTCAAACCAGCTCAATAATTTCGATTTTCATAATTTAGCAGGATTTTTTTCTCTCTTTACCAAAAACTGGACGTCAAAAGTCTTCAGTCTGGTGCTTCTGTCTCTTCAGTATATATATATAAATATATATATATAT